TTTTGCCTTGGCACAATTAAATCCTTTCCTTATCTCACCCTCAATTATCGGCTCCTGAATTTTTTCTTAGCACCAGCTGAGCAGGCATCATTGCTTGGCTGATTTCTTTAAATTGAGGCACAGTAATTTTCTATGGTACATTCTGCTGCAAAAACTATTAGTTCTTGTTACATCTCAAAACTAAGATATCACCTCCTCAAGAAGACAGGGTGAAATATTAGATGAAAAAAAGCTTGTGAGTCAAGATACACACAGGGAGATTACTTAGCAATTACGATCCTGGGCAAAACAGGCTTGACTTGGGAAAAAGCAATTTACTGACAATTAAAAATAGAGTAGGATAGTGAGAAACAAAGACAAAAACTAAACACCTTCCCCCCCACACACCTGATTGGCTCAGCTTTGACCAGCAGTTTGGAGCTGTCTGGGTCTGGTTCTTTCCACCATAGGGGCAGTGTAGTAGAATGCTCTGCCTAAGTGGGGGTAAAACTCTACCTTATTTGCAAAAGTTATCAGTGCTGGCTGGAGGAGGGGGGTTACGCTGCTTTCGGTGTTGAAGAATGCTGAGACCATCTTCACTCATCAACCCCAAAGTTAAACATTCTGAGGAAGAACAGTGTTTCCTGACAGAAACTGGCACCTGTCAGGGTGTGGCGGACACCAGGGTTGTAGATTCAATCACTGTATGGGTCATTTACTCAATGAATTGAACTTGATGATCCTTGTGGGTCCCTTCCAACTCAGACTATTCTGTGAAATCTCTGTGATAAAGGAACCAATAAGTGATAATACAGATAACTTATCTAAGGTTGTTGAGCTGGCACAGCTGGCCTGGAGATGTATGACTGACAGTCAATGACTTTATACTATAAAAGTCCAGTCCCATTTTTTAATGGCAGGGTCTTCTAACACACCCCTTCTCAGGGTATGTGTGGAGATTCCTCCCTTGAGTGGGGACGCCCCTCAAGGTTACTCCTCGAGGCTGAGCGAAAGAGATTTGCCTATGTTGCTATGGGTGAGCAACATCAGTCTCTAATTAATAATTATTTTGCTAGCTTTAATATCGTTGCTTCAATAGTGTATTATACTACTAGTTATACCTATGCATTCTGTGTAGTAAATAATTCTGATTAAGATCTTTTAGTCTACTCATCATTATTGTAATAAATTTAAATAAATAATTTATTTTATTTATATAAATGTATTTGGTTTACCATCCTTAACCTGTGGGATAAAGTTGTATAAAGGCTCAATTACACCTATATAATCCTTTACACATAAACCTTTGACCAAGTCTGGGACTAGAATTGGATCCAGCCTCACCCAGACTCCTCTCTGAGAAGGAGTTTAGAAAGCAAGGGGGTCTTTTCTGTACCTCGTGACTCAATGGGATGGTCTCCCTGATAAACCTTGTCTGAAACTTCCATTCTGCCTGTGACAGGCAGCCCCCAGTCTCTTCTCACTACTTACTCTGTATCCAACCTTATTTATTAAGACCTTATAGGTACTTGTTCACAGCC